TTTTTCACTATATATTCTTCTCATGTCTTTCCAAGCTCATATTACACTAAAAACAGTGTGAAGACCAGGGAAACATCCCAATGTCATCTGTATTTTTTAGTGTCTGAAATCTCACACAGGTGTCCTGAAAGAGGTAAAAGGTTGTGACCTACAGGTCAAGTCACCGCTCACCAGGTGCTACTGTAACAGAAGGTATCTGAAAAGCCACTGTGGGTGCATATGGTGCAGGATTAAATGGACTATTACTTACAGGGTTATTTTTCATTTCACAAAATGAATTCTGAGCAGCATGAAAACTAGAATTGTCAAAACTAAAAGTTCTAAAACTTCTGTCTCTATTAGGGATCTTGTCTCAAGTTAAACTGAAGTTTTCTGCAGAACTGTAAATAAACAGAACTGAAATAGGTACCAAATTAAAGGAAATAAAAAATACATGCTGAAGGCAGCCAGTTGCACACAAAGCCCCATTACCTTCTACAAGAAATTATTTTTGCCACTGATTTGCCCAGCAACCACATAACTTTTCTAAACACAAAAATGCTGAGAATTTTCCTTGCCCAGAAGTGGTTTCTGAAAGGGATAAATGCATTTTACATACATAATTTAGTCTGCAACAAACCACAAAAACAAAGGGGAAGAAACCTGAAAAAAAGTACATGCAGATGCTGTAACAATCTGATCAAATACCACTAAAACAGTCTTGAGTTGAACTCTTTTAAAACCCTCAAAAGCTCTACAGTCTGCTAAAAGTTAAAGGTTCTTCTTTCTTTTTCCCCCACTCAATAATTGACCTTATTCTATCATCAACTTGACATTCGACCTCATCTTGTGTTCTTAATTGCAAGGGTGCTCAGCCAGTGAAGACGACACAAGGCTGAGCGACCCTGACTGCCATCTCTGGCCCTAAGCGAGGTCTCCAGAGCTCCTACAAGCTGCAGAGGGCTCCTGACTGCTTCCCAGCAAGGTTACCCTCCAGTGTCAACAGAACTCTGACTTCACCAAAATGATCAATCAAATGAGTTTCCAGATTTCTCTAACGATGGCCAGGGCCAAGTTGCTCAAAGGGAAATCAAGTTCTGTTCCACACTTCCCTACCACGGAACAAGGTTGCACAAAAGAAAGCCTGTGGTGCTCATTAAAAGGACAGAGAAATGAGGCATAACCCCCATGTAACTGACGTTAGCAGGAATCTCTGGTGAACAGAGTTCAATTATAATTGCAAAGCCACCAGGGATTTTTAATTATTAAAAGGTAAACCATATGCCAGAGTAACTGAAGACAACTCAGTAATCAAGAATGGCAAGAAAATTTAATCTGCTTCAACTCTACTTTTTTGATATTCTGAAGACTTTTTCCTAGCAGGAAAAATCCTGTGCAAAGTAACAATAAATCTGATGTTGCTAAACATACCCACACACCCCAGTTGCTAAGCGCAACCAAATTCCTGTATTTACATATTTATGTAGAAGATATCTATGTCTATATATTAAATTTTAGATGAAGAACTATTATCAGCTTTGCAACTGGCTTATTTTGACAAGTCATTTCTTTAGATATTGATTTCTTTAACCATAAAAAAAAAATGGCTGTCATTAGATAATTAAAATAGAAACCCCTACAAGAAATGAGAAACTACTGTTTATAACACTAATTCTCTTTGGCTTGATAGCTCTTACACAAAGCATCCAAAGGGGGAAAAGGCGAAGTCATTGCCGGTGACAGGCAGTGTAAGTAAAACCTCATTGTTTTTCAAAGTCACACATACTGAAATATGTACTGATCCAGACCACCCATGCTTATAAATAACCTGTGCCCAAGCCTCTCCAATTCACAAATTTAGGAATTTCAAAAACATAAAAACCTTAGAACATTATGGTATTCTATTATGATAGCCAAAGTAATTCATAAATAAACACAAGATTGAATCTATTCTCAACCTAAAACAAAAACCAAAGTAACGATTTGGCCTAAATAAACTGAACGAAAAGACCCACATGCACATTAGAGGTAGTTATATTCACAAATGTATCTTCTAATTTAATAAACTCCAAGCCAAAACATCAGACATCTACATATTAGGGAAATTAAGTGCTAAGTATTATATTGTTTGGTGCTATCAATTAAATATACAGAATTCAAATTATAACATCACATGTTTAGAACTATAAAAATCCGACTTTGAAAAAGATCAATACATACTGGCTGCATCATAAAAGGTAGATATTATCATGAAATTTTCCAATGCTATATAGCATCTACCGCCCTAAAATTTCTTAAATCAGTCTTCTTAGTATAACTATGGCCAACACTCAAGATCAAGTCCTCCTCACCCTTACATACTTCAGAATCACTTCCAACCATCCTCTTCACCTCTACTCTCCATTCTACTTTTGCTGCCAAATTAATCTCTCTCAAATACCGATCTAACCATATCACTCACCTGATTAGGGAAAAAAATACAGGAAGAAACTTCAATGGGCTTCCCCTAATTAGCTAAAATCCCTTATTCTAGCATTCAGGCCTCTAAATATAGTGCCACGCTTCCTCGCCTTACATGAAAACAAACTTCACAGCCATTTCCTCATCATTTCTGTCTGCTCACAAGGTTTGTCTTGTTCCCCTATCTGTGCCTATGTCCCAGGTCACTCCCAGAAACTCACTAATGCTTTCCCAGTTCCTTCAAGACGCTGCACTGTCTCCCTCTTTGGAAATCTCACAGCAGGCATCTCAGAAGCCTGTTATAAGAGTTGGTACATGGCGGTCTGCCCCCTACAGGGTCTGACGTAAAGCCCATGTCCTATTAATTTTGTCTTCCTCCCTCATGACTAAGAATTCAGAGTCTTTTGAGAAATATGTGTTTCAGGGACTAACTGAGGAGTACAGTCATAATATTAAGACACTGGTGTATGACATATAGAAACATCATTAATGTGAAAAAGTTATATATACCAGTATATCCACAATAAGTTATGCTCCAACTTACCACTTCAGCTCTTTATAACATTTCAAGAAAAGAAATTATGCCTCACAGACATGTCATGATCTCTTTCAGGAAACTGACTGATTTTTATCTAGTAAATCTGTTTAGGAAGATTTCTGAGAAAAGACTTTGCATAGAAAGTAAATGTATCACATTGGTTTTCAGGTTGCCATTAATTTGGATAACCAGAGCTCAAAGCATAATTCTAGAAGAACAAGCCAGTTAATGAGAAAGGAAAGCCAACTGAAAGCAGGCAACTCGGCGCTGTGGAAAAAATACTAGGAGGCGAGTGCCCTGGGTTCTACCTGTTCCCCAACCCCACCTGCTTCCCTGCCTCTCCCGCGTGGTTCCTTCACTTGTCAAAACAGAAACTGGACTTGGTGAGCTCCAAGATCCAGTCTAACACTATAGAATCCTATAAGTAAACTCGTCTTCACTGAATTATTTCTAATGAGATGTGGTAGAAAACAGTACCTTCCTACAATAATTGTGCTCACAACCTTTCTTCAACCTAAAAAAGATAATCCTATAAATCTTCAGGGTTGTTGCATTTTCAAGGATGTTTCCAAATAAAAGCAAAAACCTACCATTAAAACAATGAAAAAAAGAAAACTTTAAGGACTAAGAAAAACACATTTAAGGGAAAACAAAGATAAGCACTCCCCCCAGCGCAAACCTCACACCGTTATAACTGCTAAATGACACTCTGGAAAGTCTACATTCTCTTAGAAACTTAAGATACCTAAAACAGTAATAAAAATTGCCAGCTAAACAGTAGTACAAGTGATAAAATAGTTTTTTGAAATTGTTTGAGTATCTTCTCCGACAAAAGAAACTCAGATTCAAGTTATAGGGATATGAAAAACCAAAAAGTCAGAATTGCCCAAACGGTGAGAAACCAGATATTAGCAGTGTATGTGCCCCATTTAGTTAGCCTAATTTATTATTTATTTTAAAGATTTATTTATACAAGCACTGGGTACAGTCAGAAACTAGGGAGGGTGAGAGAATTCACCAGAGCCAGAGCAGGGAACAGAACAGGCAGACTGACTGAAATACACTGCCAAGGGGAGCAGCGGGCACGGCAGGATAGGTCTGTTGTGCCATGTGGGACCCTCGCCGGTAGCCGGGGATCGAACCAGTGCTGCAGAGGCTGCGTGTGGGCGGCTTCACAGCCCAGTGCTCAACTGCTGCGCCACCAGGGGAGGCCCCTAGTTAGCCTAATTTAAACTCTGACAGAAATTTTACTTACTTAGGGCTTTTTATACGGGCAAATTCCCTCTCTTCTCTGATGATATGAGTTGATTAACAAATGTGAAGTGTTTCAGAATAACTTTTGAGATTTTTCTTCTCTTGCCTTCAAGGCTTCAGACTAATGGTTTTGAGTACAAATCATCAGTTTAGGTTTCTCAGCTTCCAGTTTGGACTTCTGGGTTTATCCTGATGCTGTGGCTTGATGGTGCCAGTAACTAGGGGCCACTGATGTGCTGCTAGAACAAAGTACTGAAAAAGCTATAAAAGGTCACTTTCTTAAAATGCTAGAGGGAAGGGGCCTTCCCGGTGGCGCAGCAGTGGAGCGCTGGGTTGTGAAGCTGCCCGCAGCCTCTGCAGCACCGGTTCGATCCCTGGCTGCTCCCCGGCCACCAGAGGAGGGTCCCACATGGCGCACAGATCTCTCCTGCTGCCCGCTGCTCCCCTCAGCAGTGTACTTCGGTCCTTCTGCCTGCTCTGCTCCCCACTCTGGTGAATTCTCTCACCCTCCCGCCCTTCTGACTGTACCCAGTGCTTGTATAAATAAATAAATAAATAAATAAATAAATCTTAAAAAAAAAAAAAAGAGTAAATACACTTAAAAAAAAAAATGCTAGCGGGAAAGGGATATTTTTTAGACAATACTGACAATTAACTGAAACAAAGCCACACCTTCCACTTCCCCCTCAAATCAAACCAAAATAAACTTTATCAAAAAAGAGTATGGCCTCACTACACCTGGCTATGTGATTCAGCAAGTCTGTCTTACCTTCTGATGCTTTAATCACATATCCCCCCTTCTTTTCACCAGGAGGCACATCAAGCAACTGCATGATTCTGTCCAGAAGCCCATGGATTATCTCAAACCCAGGATTCTTGTTGTAATAAACAGCACAGAGATGTCTATAGTTTCTTGCACCGACATCTGAAAAGATAAAGGAATTGGTCACAGGCCACTCTTACCACTACTGAAGAAACTGATTTACCCCAACATACATGTGGGCAGGGTCAACAAAAAAAGATAATCGATGACTTAACATAGAGAACCAGGGGGTGAAAGGACTCACCAGAGACAGAGTGGGGAGCACAGCAGGTGGATCTACTGGAATACACTGCTGAGAGGAGAAGCAGGTGAGACAGGAGTGGTCTGCTGCACCTTACATATGTTAGCTCCCTGGCCGGGGATCAAACTCAGGCCATAGTGGTGACAGCACTGAGACTTAATCCCTAGGCCACCAGGGAAGCCCCAAGAGGGTATTTTAAGCATCAAATTCCCTCAGGTGTTTGTACTGGGGAGAGGGGAGTGGACAACAGAACCTTAACACTTCACTATTTTATTCATTATACTAATGAAAATAATCCTAAACACAAAAAAAGGTTTCATGCACTAAGAAATCTCTACATACAGCATTAATTCCAATAGTGAATATCAGAAACTACCTATATTGGGGAATGGCTACATACAGTACAGTGTACTCATCAGAATACAATTGTATTTACCATTTTCTTTATTAAATGCTTGTTCCTGTTCTATTATGACAAGATTCATAAAGATGGTTTTTAACAGCTGCATAATATTCTGGCGATTTTTTTTAAAAGATTTATTTATACAAGAGCTGGGATACAGGCCAGAGGCATGGTAGGGTGAGATGTTTCACCAGAGACAAAGCAGGGAGCACAGTAGGCAAATGGACGGAAAACACTGTTGAGAGAAGCAGCAGGTGAGACATGAAAGGTCTGCCACGCCATGTGGGTATCTTCCTGGCCAGCCAGGAATCGAACCTGCGCTGCAGAGGCTGTGGACAGCCTCACAGCGCTGTGCTCAACCCGCTGCGCCCCTGGGGAGAACCCTCTGATGAGTATTTTTATCGAGATTTATCATAATAGAGCAAAAGCAAACAATAGAGAAAATAGTAAATGAAAAAGATCAGGACAAAATTCAGGGAGTCAAAACTACACTGTTTAAAGACTACACATAGGGGGCCTCCCCGGTGGCGCAGCAGTTGAGCGCTGGGTTGCGAAGCTGCCCGCGGCGTGGGGTTCGATCCCCGGCTGCTCCTCGGCCACCGGAGGAGGGTCCCACATGGCGCGCGGCCCTCTCCTGCCGCCCCCTGCTCCCCTCAGCAGTGTACTTCGGTCCTTCTGCCTGCTCTGGTCCCCGCTCTGGCTCTGGTGAATTCTCTCACCCTCCCGCGCTTCGGACTGTACCCAGTGCATGTATAAACAAACAAACAAAACAAACAAATAAATAAAACATGCCTCTATTAAAAAAAAAATTTAAAAAAAAAATAAAGACTACACATAGCAACCACAGAAAACTATGAAGCAAACAGGAATAACATAAAGGTTAGGATAGTGAAAAGGGAAGGTGAGATAATGGGGAAGGAAAACACAAGATTAAATGACATGTCTCAATTTGGATGGTTACACGAGTGTTTTATATTTTAAAACTGTATTGTCATAAATACTCTTCACAATTAAAATATGGGGGAAAAAGCAGTATATGAGGAATCACCATTTTGTAAACATAACCGTAGCCCAAAATACCCCATGCACAGGAAAAAAAAAATGAAAAGAAATATATCCTAAGTGTTACTAGATGTTGTTTGACAGGGATAATTTCCCCCCAAGTTTTAGCTATTTTCCAACTTTTCCTTGATTACTACATATTGTTCTACTTTGAAAATCAGAACTTACATAATCTAGTATTAAAAATAGCAATACAAATGAGCCCTGATGGTAACTGGATAAACTGTGGTTTGTCCATATAATGAAATACTACTCAATGATAAATAGAAACAAAGCATTTATAGACATGACAATGTAGCTGAATCTCATGGGCATTATTCTAAATGAAAGAAGCCAGTGTCAAAGGCTACATACAAGTTCATTTATATGACTTTCTGGAAAAGGGAAAACCATACCAACAAAGAACAGATAGTGGCTGCCTGGGGCCAGAATTGGGGGAAAAAATGTAAATACAGTGCGACAACATGGAGGGTCTTCCTGCAGACAGAACTGTTTGGACTTAAAGTGGTAGTAACAAAAATTTAAACTTGTGCTAAAACTCATTAAAAAAAGAAAGAACAAAAAAGACCTACATATAGAGGTAGACTCCAATTCAGTGGTAATCATTTAACTGCAAGGCAAGTAAATACACGTGTGGTCTTTTAATAAACGCTGGAAGAGATCACTGTTCTAACAAAACAATGAATATTGGCTTCATTTTGCTTTTAAAATTGGAAAAGAGAAAAGAACAAACTAATGTCTATCTGGGGAAACAATCTGAAAATAAAAAGCTGCTTCATGTTAACATGTACATAGCATGCAATGGGCATAAGTTTTTTCCATAGATTTATTCCCATTGATAATAACTACTAACCACAATTGTTACAAAATACAAGTTACCTTTTTACCTTCCAGATATCCAAATAAAACATGGGTATTTGCACACAATGGACAGCATGTCCTCAAATAATGTAATTTTGTCCAGTGTCATTTTGTCATAACGTTGATGAGGGAAAAAAATCCTGACCAATACTGAACAAAGCCACAGTACACAAAGACCTGGCTTGTTAAACATGATTTCACGTAGTCAGTTTCTAATAACATAGGAACAACGTTAAATCAGGATTTACTATACTTTGCTTCCAAAGTAATATAAAAATGAGCACTAAATGAAGTAAAAGGAAAAAGGAAACTAATGTTATCTACTCTGTGCCTTGTATTTAGTACCTATCAGTCTAGTTATAATCTTATTTAATTTCTAAACAATCATGTAAGCTATCTTATTATCCCTATAAAATAAGATATGGAAAATTAGATACAAAAATAAAAGCTGAGATTTTTGTCCTAAGTCCAATGAACTGCTGGAGCTATTTGTAATTAATTACATTGCTAGTAAGTCACAAAATAGGGATTTAAGAAGGATGGTCTAACTCTGAAATCCATGCTCCTTCCATTAAATGGTGGAAATCTCTAAAAGATTTACATGAAATTTCTACAGTAGTTAAATGAAAACCAACAAATACAAGAGCAAAATAAAGAAATATGTACCTACTTCATATAGTTGAAAAATTGCATTCTTGAAATATTTTTGATCCACACTTTAGCTTTCAATAGTGCTCATGATATTTAAGACTTCCAGTTAAGCAGCTGGAGTAAATTATTTTTAGAAGTCAATTAACTTAAATTTCTAGTTATCAACCAATACCCATGGAAAGAAGTCTAAGTTAAACTCTACACACACATGGAGAAGTAACTGTTTGTGCCATGTGACATGTCTTAGTAACTACTGTGTTTAAGGGTTTGCAGAGAATAAGCACTCAACAGTTATTTTCTGAGTGAAAGGCCTGGACAGCACCCTCAAATAACTTACAAATGGCCAGGAACAGACAATGGGCCACATTCTAAGTCAACACAAGAGTCAGCTGCTGTAGGAAGGCACACACTTAAGCCATGGTCACTCAGTCATTTGCAAGGGTAAAGAAATTTGGTAACTGAAAGCTACAATCAAAGGTGTAAGAGTGAGATTAATATTAAAACCAGGCAGGCATAAAATCTCACAAAACCAACCACATGCATAAACTAAAATGAGGGGCCTGATTCCTCTGTGGGAATACATGCACTCTTAATCTTTCTCTCTCTCTCTCTCCCCCCTGAAGAGGAAAAAAATGAAATGAAACAGAACTAAATTATCCCTTTCATATTACTGACTTGCTTCTGGGTATCTTTGCCATGTGGTACCCATTTGTTGGTGTCACATGCTCCCACTTGAACACACAGACGTGCACTGAAACTAGTTTGTTCTTCCATTTTTGCAGTGAGACCAGCCCGACAGTAACACCACCGTTCAGAGAGCTCAGCAGCATAAACTAGAAGCTTTATTTTGGTAACCTTTGCCTTGAAATATTTCCTTGCTGATCTGCAAATTATGTAAAACTTTTTTGATAAGACTAGCAACATCTGGTTTAAAGTTAGGAAAAAAAAACAAATTAAGTGACTTTGTGGATCAGAACAATGGAATTACAATAGAAAATACAGGTCTTTAACAAAACTGCCTTCAGGAAATATGTAATACACACATACACACACAATGCTTTATGTATTTTTAGATTCAATTCTGCAATATTTTTAGGAAGGGCCGCTGACTTCCAGGCTTCGTACTAAACCCACCATAAGAATTAGATTATTCATTATCAAGGTGCTCCCTCCCAACTCCTACCAGTGATTGGCTGATCTTTCACATTTGCCAAGTCCTTTGACTCCCTCTACCCTTGCTTCCTTACATCTCGCTAAGATATCCCTGCTACCATAGCTGAAATGAGCTGAAAAAGAAAATAACCTCATAGTTCGTTCCACCCATTTCTTCTTGGAGAAACTGCTAGGTATGGTAAAATTCCCATTTCCTGGTACTTTGCACTGAGGGACCATGTTACATCACAGGAAGTTCACTGACTGCACACCACAAAATAAGAACTATTTAAATTTCATGCCAGAACTAGGGTTTGTTGGAAATGCCTTAGTTCTTTATAACTCAGTTAACAGACCTCTTGTGTCATACCATCAAACAATTCTGCTTTTTAAATGGGCCTGCCAAGTATGTCAGCCTAAATTACCAATGTATTTCACAGACTTCAAAGTACTGCCTGGAGAGGCTGATCTAAACCACCCAAAGGAGGGGCAGCTGGCTACGATTCTATAAGCTGAAAGAACATGCCAAATGATTTTGTAAAAGAGAAAAGAAAAAAGAATGGTACACGATGTCCCTCCGTAGATGACTGTGCATGCATACAACTCAAATTTTTAGAATAGTCTCCTGCTTGGTGATGAGCCTCTTTCACCAAAGTACCAATGATTAAAAGCAAGTTAGGGGTTTTAGGTTATGTTGGCACATATGGCACAGACTGGACAAAGGCAGTCTTC